ACCCTGTGACATTTGATAATAACAAGGTTGGTACATTACAAACAAGTTCCACATTTACAACTCTGCCTTGATATTTACACTTATTAAATTGTTGAGGGAGGTGGTTCCTGGATGCTGGAGGCCCATATATAAAACATATCAGCATAATTGGAATACAGCCAAATCCCTCAGTGTACATTGCAGACACTTGTTAAAAGCTTGACCTTGGAGGAAAAAAACCTTCCTACTTGTCTTCAATCCGTCCTCACCTCCTCAAAGTACTCCTCTAAAGTCACCTTTCAGCCAAACAGTTTGGGGAGTTTGTCCTTAATGCTGACCTTAGGCAGGCCCTCAGTTCCCAGGACAGTGATGAAGGCTATATTCTCACCTGGATGAGGAAATTAGCTATGATTTTCCATTACCTGTAGTGAACATTCCTTTTCATTTGTTTAATTCCCTGAGAGTTGACACTACACATTAATTCATTGAGCAATTGCTTTGTGTAAAGGGCCAGAGATGAATGAGACAGTCACTGCCATCAAGGAACTTACACTTCAGTCAAGGACACAGACAAGTGGCTATAGTAGAAGGCAGAATGAAATAAAGGCCGGAATAGAGGTAGGAACACATTGCTGAAGGAGCTTAGATAACACAATTTATTTTAACGGGGGAAGAAAAATTAAGAAAGGCTTCAGAAAGGCAGCACTGGTCCTTGAAGGATTGATAGGAGAAAAGGGCTGAGGCTGGGCAGCAAGGCGGTAACAGTCAAAGCAAAGCACATGTGTGTGTAATAGCACGGAGCTATACGCACAGTGATGTGATCATATGTTCATCACTGGCATGTTTCAATGATAAATCCTGTGCGGCGTGGCTTAAGGAACAAGGTAGAAGAGGCGTGAAAGTTATGCTCTGAGTCTGCTCCTGAGACGTTTGAAGGTTGCACTGGTTTCATTAATTAGGGAGAACAATGAAAGAGCTTTGAAGCGGGCCAAGGAAGGCATTTAGAGACCTCTTACCTCTTCAACCCATTCTTCACACTGCTAGAGAGAGCAACTTCTGTGCCTGGCTAGATATTAGGGGAGAGGGAATAATACAAAATGCTTCCAGAGTTTCCAGCTGTAGAAATTGGGAAAAGGCTAGTGCCAATATTGACACAGGTGACTTGGATGGAAAAATACGTTTGCTGGAGAAGAACATATTTGGTTGGGGATGTACGAAGTTTAGTGTGTGAGCTATCCTTTTCAGTGGGAAGGTGGTTTTGCGGTTCAGGAGAGACCTCAGAGTCATCTCCTTGAAAGAAATTCTTTCATTTCCTTGAAAGAAATTCTTGAAGCTGTGGATACAGCTAAGATGACCCTGGAGGTGAAGAGAACACAAATGAAGGCAACTGACAATAATGTCTATTCATAAGAATGATTCAATAGACTTTGAGGACTTGGGGGAAAGGGCGGGAGCGGGGTGGGGAATAAAAGACTCCACAATGGGTACAGTGTATAATGCTCGGGTGATGGGTACACCGAAATCTCAGAAGTCACCACTAAAGAACGTACCCATGTAACCAAACATCACCTGTTCCCCAAAACCTAGCGAAATAAAATATAATAATGCCTACATTTAGGGGTCATTTGAAGACAACCATTGATAAAAGGGGAATGAGTTTTCTGAGAGGTAGGGGAAGACAGGGCTAGGTACACTTGGTGGCCAACACGAGACAAGGTAAGTGGGATGAGGATTCAGCAGCATTGGTAGGATGTGGCAGTTAGGTGGGTCATTGATAGCCTTGAAGGAGAGTCCCAGCTTGAAGGTTGCTGTTTAATAGTCTGGTGGAACCTCAAAGTGTTTGTAGACTGAGGGGAAATGTGATGATGGATGTGAAGAGTGAAGTCCTTACAATAGCACAAAGTACTACATGGTACAAGGTCATAGCAAGTCAGCTTTGTTATCACAGATGCTCTGAAGTAACAAAGTCATTGACATCTGAAAGACGTTTTCATTTTTATCATTATAACTGAATTCTGCTAGGGGCCTTAGTACATGACCCCTTTCATTTCCCGTCCGTCTTTCCCTCAAGCACCGTCATTAAGTGCTACCTGGTATTCAGCCAGATAAAGCACCCCATTACTCGATTTTTGTCCAAAAGTCTAGGCCACTGTGCTATTATGTGCCATAGGTTTCCAAGACTTGTTCAAAAAGACCATTTACAATATTTAGGTATTTTCAGTGTAATTCCCATTGTGATATTGGGGTTTTTGTAGGAAAATGCAGGGATGGTAACACGGTACTGGGGGAGGAAGGAGATAGAGCAGATTCCTAAAACAGGCCTCATTCTGGAATAAAACAATAGTAGCCAAAAGAAAGTCATTCAGCGTCACATGACCCAGCAGCTGAATGTACTGGGAGAGAAGCCCTACAGTTATTTGAGTAGAAAGGCATTTAGCATAAAGGGAATAGACGTGGGCACCGTTTGAAAGTCTGAGATTACTGGGAGCAAAGTAAAACAGGACAATCTGCTGTTCTTTTAGAGTAATAACTGTTCAAGAACCTCTTAAATGTACAGCTTAAAATATTAACCAGACACTTAAGAAGGCCTAGCTGTTAACTAATTGAAGCTTTTCCCATAAATTATACTTTATCTAAATGCCTTTCTTTCCTGCCAGTATGAAACCAAAACTGAATCAGTATATTTTAATGTCCACTCAGTCTTTGTCAGTTTTTTCTCTCTTTGAACAGCCATTCAATGTTTTGGCTTTCAGTGTTGTCTGAAAAAAGAAAGAGAAAGGAAAAGAAAAGAGAAGGGAAGGGAACTGAAAGGAGGCAGGGGAGGAAAGGAAAGGGATAGAAAGCAACCTAGAGATCTTACCCTTGCTCATATTACCGTCATCACTATAATATCACTGAATCAGTTTTTGTGCAGAAATCGTGTTCTCCTGTCTGCTCCGTGTCTCTATGATTTGATGTTACTTGCATAGAAGGCTTGCATGAGCCAGGCAACAGTCCAGATAATAGGATCATTTAGCATAAAGGGAACAGACTTGGGCACTGTTTGATAGTCTGAGAGCTCTGCAGCTGCAATATCTGAAAACTGGTGCCACTGAAACCTGCTATCCAAGTTTGGGCCCTCATTTCTCAAAAGTATTATTGCAATAACCTCCAACAAAGTTGGCCTTCTGTGGCCTCTCCCCCGTCTACCTGTCCTATATAGAGCTTCTAGAGTCATCTTTCTTCAGTGCTCCAAATAATTTATTTGCTCAAAACCCCGCAATATTTCCCTGTCCTGTATAGAATCGAGAAGCCCAAACCACACATTCACTCGAGTCAAACAGAATCGTTCAACATTCTCTGTATATGCACCAAGGTTCCACGTTTGTACCTCTGCTCATGCCTTCCCTCCCTCCCTCTTCAAAAAGATGTCAGTTCCGTGAGAGCATGAACCACATCTAGCTGGTTCACTGTCACGTTCTCCGAATCTAGCGTTGTGTGTGGCACACACGAGGTGCTCAGTAAATACTGACTGAATGAGTAACAGTGTCACAGATCTGAATCCACTTACCTCTTAAATTTCAGTTTAAATGCCAACCACTCCACAAAATCTGCACAGACACCAGCTTCCCATCCCAATAACCACCCCACTTCTCTGAAACTAAATTCTTGCTTTTTCTGAACCTCCATAGGCCTTATGTCAGTTTCAACAACAATCAGTTTCTTTCCACCTTGGATTAGAATTCTGTTTGTACATCTCCCATCTCCCACTTGGCTATGAGATCTTGAAGCCAGGAGCTATGTTTAATTCATAATTGTGTCCTGAAAAAGCAGCTTCCATTAATGGACACTCGATGATTAGAATGGCCATACTGGGGAGTGGGGGTGGGGCAGACTTTAACAAAGTAGAGAAGTTGAGGGGTTTTATATTATTTATTTATTATTATGTCAAGTAATATGATAATAGTGCTTACACTTTGCTCACAAATATCAAAAGGTGATGGCTGGACCTCAATTAGCCAAGATGTAGCTGAAAATATTAGCTGAACTGCTATTAGCCAAGATGTAAGGTCATCATGGCTAAAGATTGGACTCTGGCTAATCTCCAAGAACTAGGAACAAAATTATGATTTGTATAATTCATATATTTTCAAGTTGTTTTTCCTGAAATGGACACTAACTGTAATATTATTTCACCTGTGGCTACTGGGACTCTAGACATCTAAATAAATTCAGTCTGTAAATGAGATATTTGGCTATAGCTTTCTTTTCATTATCAATCAAAACTATATAGCATGTTACATGCGTTGCATACATATTAATTTCTGGATTTTCATTTTCCTTTAAGCTCTTGACCTTAAGCTCTAATTCTCCTAGTTGTGGATACTAACGTTTTCAGACTTCCTATTAAGAAATGTGCCTATTTGGGTCTCAGCGGAAAGAAAAACGCCAATGTATTTGATTCCTGATGTAAACCGTTCCAAGGGAAACAATGGTCTTTGGTTTGCCTTGGAAACAAAGGTTTCTTGATTGTATTATTTATAGACCTGATTATTACATTGTCCAGACCTTCATCTTTAAGTCACCTCAACTATGATGAGATATTCTATTGAAAGCTCTCCAGAAAATAATAATCTATAGTCCTTTTATTATGCATTCCGGATTTTTATCCGTCTGAGCATTTGAAGCACATTTGCTTAATTCTATACTCAATACCAAAACAAAACAAAACAAAAACATTTTCTGTTGAAACAGTTTCTCTGGAGCATGTAAATCACCCTTCCCTTCTGATGTTTCTAAGCTTTTCAGTTGTATAATATCTCCACCACTCTGGCAAGTACTGCTAAAGAAAACCGTATGATTTCTAGAAGTATGTTTTTAATATGATCCCATGATCTCTACCTGACCAGGCCCATACAAAAGCACTCCTGCACTTGTTTGGTTGACATTTATTCTAGAATGTTCTCCCATCCTGTTTTGACTCTCCATAGTTCATGCCTTTTCATTTGTCTTTAATCTTAATTCTCATAGGCAGTATAACATTTAATGTATATCTTAACTTTATTGAATAAGTAATAGCCATTACATATAGATTGCAAGTCATTCTTGGTCCTGCTTAGAGATAGGTGTTTATTCCAAAGCAAAATGAGAGCACAAATCCACAGTTCTACTGCAAGTGAAATACTCCAGGGTGGCTTGGTATGGACACAATCTCCCTAAATACGCATTCAAAGCAGTCTTTGCTTTCACCTCTCCCTTCAGGTGAGGGTATTTAAAATAAGCTTGTAAAAAACCCTTCTGTATCAGAGGTAGTTTTGTGCCTGCATTGTGAACCACAGAAGGCATTTGGTCAAAGACATCATAAAAGGGGTAGAAGAGGTACATCAGAGCATAGAGCTGGGATCGATTATTTTTTTCAAGTTAATTGGCCATAGAGGCAAAAGTGTCAACCGAAATTTAGAAGAGCCTGTCCATCCATTTAACAACAAAGCATGCAGTTTTGCACGCCTATGCAGACGACAGCTTTTAGAGACAAACTTCAATTTGGCTTGAGCACCAAGAATGCATCTTAAAAAGTGAAAAATACATTTATGTGCAATGACTAGTGTAGTGAGATGCATGGTGCCCCCTCCCCCAAAAAGATATTCAATATCCTAATCCCTTGAACCTGCGATAGTACCTTATTTGGAAAAAAAAAAGTCCTTTCAGATGTAATTAAGGATCTTGGAATAAGTGAATTATCATGGGTAATCTGGATGGGCACTGAATGCCATCATAAGTGTCCTTTTAAGAGAAAGGCAGAGGTAGATTATATATACAGAGGGGAAGTGATGTGAAGACATAGCAGAGGGAGATGCAGCCACAAGCCAAGGAATGATGGCAGCCACAAGAAACTGGAAGACATGAGAACAGAGTTTCCCCTAGAGTCTCCAGAAGAAGTTCAGCCCTGCCAACCCCTCAATTTTGGACTTTTGGCCTCCAAAACAACCAGATAATAAATTTCTATTGTTTTAAGCCGCTGGGCTTGAGGGTAATTTGTTACAGCAGCCACAGGAATCTAGTACAGATTGTGGAACCAGGAAATTGGGTACTTCTATAACAAATGTCTTCAAATGTGAAAATGGCCTTGGAATTGGATAATGGGTAGAGAATAGAAGAACTGTGGTGGGTGAAAAAGCTAGATTGCCTTAACCAGGTAGTTGGCTAAAGTATGAATGGTAAAGGCATTCCTAGTGATGGCTTAGAAGGAAATGAAGATTTTATTGGCAAATCGAAGCAAGGCAATCCTTGTCATATTAGTGGCAAAAAGTTTATCTAAATTGTACTACTCCAGTTGTGTGAAAAGGAGAATTTATAAATGACGAACTTGGATGTTTAGGTGAGGAAATTCTCAAGTCTAGTGTTAGAGGTATAGTGTAGTTTCTTCTTAGTGCTTACAGTAAAATAAGAGGGAAAAGAGATACATTGAGAAAAGAGGTTGGACATGGTGGCTCACACCTATAATCTGACACTCTAGGATACCAAAATAGGTGGATTGCTGAAGGCTGGAAGTTCGAGAGCAGCCTGGGCAACATAACAAGATCAAGTCTCTACAAAAAATATGAAAAATTAGCCAGGCAGGGTGACATGCACCTGTAGACCCAGCTACTTGGAAGGGAGGCAGGAGGATCACTTGAGCCTGGGAGTTTGGGGTTACAGTGAGCTATGATTGTACCACTACACTGCAGCCTGGGTGATAGAGTAAGACTTTCATCTCCAATAAATTAAAAAAAAAATTTAAAGAGAAAAGAACCATATAAGTGGACAAGGGATCAGTACCTGATGACTGGGTAAATTCTGAGCCTATTCAGATTGTAAAAAAAGCCTTAGGAGATTCACCATTAGAAAGGTGTGCTCAGGAGATAAGGCCAAGGCTGTGTCTTGACAACCTTTCGCTAGTGCTGAAGAGATTAGGCATTAACTTGGGGATTTATTTGACTGTTTCAAAAGAAGCCAAGAATGGAGATGGGGTTATTCAGGAAAAATCTGTGACGACCCTCTTTTCTGAATGTATGAATTAATGTGACATATATGGAAGACCCACAAGGTTTTTGAGAATGATATGCCAGCAGAAACACTTCCAAATGGGCCTCAAAGGGCCAGAGACAGAACAAAATCAAAGAAGATTGTGAGACTACCAAAATTCTACAGGTAGGAAACCCGTTGATAAAACTACTTAGTTGCAAACGTGTGCTAACCTTCAAGATAAAGAAAGGACCACCCAGAGAGCAGAGCTGCAGGTACAGAGACAGAGGCCCAAGTGGGGGAACAGAGGAAGAAGTCCAAACCATAGGCACAGAGGCAGAGGCCCAATCCATGGTCCAAGAAAGAAGAGTTACAGGCTCAAAGGGTGGAGCCCTGAGAAAGAGGATCATTGCCAGGCCTTGAAATATAAGAGAAATTTGTCTGGCTAGATTTTGAAAATGATTGGGACAGGAGACTCCATTCTATTTTCCATTCTCTCCATTTTGAAACAGAAATATCTATAATTGTTATCCTATGCCTGTTTCCACCACTGTAATTTTAAAGCAGACAACTTTTCTGTTTCACTGGTTCTCAGAGGGAGAGGGATTTTGCCTCAGGAAAGACCATACCCGGAGTTTCACTCATAAATGATTTAGATGATCAAAATGATAAGCTTTGGAACTTTTGAACTGATAATATTTGAATGAGATTTTGGACTTAGAATTCATAATGGGGTTGAGACTTTTGGGAATATTTGGATGAGATGAATGTATTTTACACAAGACAGGCATAAATTTTGAGCCAGAGGGCAGACTTTGGTGGGCTGAGAGTGGCTTCCTAAAAAATATAGCCACATCCTAATCCCCAAAACCCATGAATGTTACCTTATTTGGAAAAGGTAAGGACTTGCAGATTTAATTAAGAATCATGAGGTGAGGAGATTATCCTGGAGTAATCTGGGTGGTCTCTAAAACTCATCATAAGGATCCTTATAAAAGAGAGGCAGACGGAGATTAGGTGCACAGAGGAGGGTGATGTGAAGACACGGCCAAGAGAGAAATGTGGCTGTAAGCTGAAAAATGCCAATAGCCACCAGAAGGTGGTTGTGGCAAAGAAAGATTCTCCTTTACAGCCTCTTGAGGGAGCATGGCTTTGCTGACCTCCAGAAATGTAAGCAAATGAGTTTCTGCTATATTAAGCCATCACATTGGTGGTAATTTGTTATAGCAGCCAAAGGAGATGAATGCAATTAGTTGATATTTTAAGGATTCTGCACCTTTTGAAACATACTCTGCAGAAAATCTGCGTAAATGGTGCTTCTCACGTCCGGCAGTGTTATGGCCAACAAAAGACCTTAGCGTAATTTGCTTTCATACTAAAAATGTCACTATATACTTTTTCTGGTGATATCTTTCAATCTAAAACAAAACTGCAAATGGCTAGAGCAGGACCATTATAAATCTGGGAAACAAACCTTTTAACTCAACTATTGGAACTTTGTGAAAGACCTTGAGAGGTTTTTTTTATGATATTTGAATGAGATGTTTGTGAAAAGCATGTGGGATTGGTCTAAATACAAATATATAAGTTATCAATAATAATACTTCATTCATTCTTGTTCACAAACTAGAAAATAAGGCAAGTTTACATCTGGAAAAGGTGATACACATCAGTATTTCTACCTTGACCAGCTTGATAATATAGCAAGGCATATGCTCCCAAATTTTAGTCAGGGTTAACATTTCAAAATCATTTTCCTACAGACTGATAAGCTTTCAAAAGAATTAAAGAAGCCACACCACAAAGATTTCAGAAAAGACTCTGTAAAGTCAAAAATACACATACTAGGTATTTACAGAAATTAGTAAAACCTAAACTGTTGTTGTTACAAAATAGTGTGTGAAACTGATATGTCCCTTAAATGTGCATGTGTGCACGTGTGTGTGTGTTTGTGTCTGTGTGTTTTCAGATAGGATAGGACTGTAAAATCTCAGATACTGTTGCCCTTTTTGATTTCTCTATTGTAGCAGCTTCAGAGATTTTTAAACTATAATGCCTAAGTAGGGATGCACTGGAGGCAAAGGCAGCCGTTTGAATCATTATACATCTATATAAAGGGATCTGCAAGCCACTGGTCACTTGTTTACTTTATCTCAGATGGGGATTTGCCAAGCCAGTCATTTGTTGTTCTCTCTGAATATCTACAATGTGCTTTGAATGAGTAGAAACAGTATTTTCTACATAAGAAACATACATGTAAGAAATTTCTTACAATAATCACAATCAGCTGCATGAATTAGATTTAAAATTGCACTCCAGAGAAGTTATACTACATTATTTCAACACATATTTTAAAATAATAGACAAGTTAAGTATAACTTTTACTCCCTAATCTATTTAAGAAAAATGTAGAATCTGTTTCCCCTGCTAGACTTGTTTTGGCAGCATCATTTTAATTTGTTAATATAAGGTAAGTAAGTATGATGATAATTGAGAAGTTCACTGAATTGGAAGTATTGTAGCCAGAGATATAAATATATACACATATATACACTTACGTACATAAAATTTGTTTTTCTTCTTCAGACCACCAAGGTGAAATTGGAAAGAGAGTGGAAAGGGAGATAAAACAACTGACCTTTCAGACAGTTTTCTGCTGCCTCCTGCAAAAAGAAGTCTTTTTCCTCTCAGGTCTCCCAGAAGTCTATTCCCTGCCTTCAAGGGGCTCAAGGGAGAAAGAAGCAATAGAAAAAAGAAATAAACCACAGAGCATAGGAATCAATATTTGCCTTTGAAATCTAAGTAAAGGTAATAGAATTTTCGGGTTCATCCCTAGCAAAAACATTAAAATGTGAGGGTTTTCTCAAAAATAGCCATATAAAGTATTCATATAAAGTAGATATCTGTGCATAATTAGAAAATACCTCTTTAAATAAAGTTTAAATCACTTTCCCTAACTGATTCGGTTAAACTTTGGTTTATTTTTAGCAATGAGAACTGCTTGCAATATCATGCTGAAATGCTAGCTAGACTAATGATAAGTTTAATTTCAGCCAAAGCAGATGAATCCATCAGCTTTCACTTGGGATAAGATTCTAAATAACTCAACTGGGGTGGAGCAGTACTTTCGTGAATTTCCAAAATGGCTTCTCTTCCAGCGTGCATAATACTAGCCCTGCTCCAAATCATTAAGATGCATCTTTTTCTTGGTCCTTTTCTATTCTATATGTAATACGGATTGGAAGCTGACACTGGATAATTCCTTTCTATCCTTTTTCTTCTCTTTTGTTTTTGGTGGGGGTGACTTACTCATTTAAGATTTTAAATTTTTGACAGACTGAATGTTTTTGAAAGCCTTAGAACTCTTCAACTTCTTACACGTTCATCATCACAGTCAGGTCACACACAATTACAAATGATATACATCTTTACACTAAAATGGAGCACATTTTGTAATCCTGATAACTGTGTTCAGATTAGAATAATTGTGGGAGGAGTCTTGTAAGAGTTTTACAAATGCACACTACTTCCTCCAGCTTATCTTGACCTTTGCAGAAATGCACTTATTTTCTTTCCAGCCACTGAGTGCACACTTTGTTCTTCTCAAAATGCATCATTTTGTTTACTTTAATATTTTCATATTCTTTGGCATCAGGAATCACTTAGATGAGATGGCTCCATTGTGGCGAGAGCGCGACCTTTCCAAAGGTACTCGTCTGTTATCTGTAAGACAAAGAGAAAAAGAACCAAAAACATGGTAAGCTTTAGATCTTTGCTATTACAAGATGTTAGGTCAAGAAAGGTTTTCAAATAGTCCTGAAAAATCACTTCAAATGAATATGTAAATAAGTAACAGGGAACTCAGATCTGAGGAGTTCCTGCTGCAGCTGCCCGGCTGAGTTCAAGAGTTCGGCAATCAGCAATAAATTACTTTTCCTGGTAAGTGAAGTCAGAGTGATAAAAGAAATGGAAGCATTCTCTCAAGCACAGTCCCCTTGGAAATAACAGGCAACAACAAAATTCTTTGGTAAAGATTGAAAAGCTCTATGGCTACCTCTAGAGGACACCAGCGTGGGCAGAGCAGAAAAAAGTTTTTATTTTTTACAATGATTGCAATATGTGGCAATCACATTAGCTACCAAATTTGCTTGATTGTATGATGTAAACAAATTCAATATATTATATAGTCACTGTGGGAATGAATAATGAATAGGACCTATTCTATATCCCATTCCCACCACTCGTCACAGGAAGAATAATTATTATAGAGATAACTATTGACACAAAGCTTGGAAAACAAAGTTTAAAAGCATTGAAAGTTGCTGAAAATAGTTCTAGCTTTAATAGGGAAAAGGTTTACAGCTCTGCATTGCAATGATCACTACCATGTTATTATCACCTCTGTTTCATGCTCAGCTTAAATGCAACTGATGTGGGTGAAAATCCCTTTCTGACAAAAGCATAATATACTTAGATTCTCTATTTCGAATGAGACTAGGTCCCTAGAAATAATGGCAACCACCAGCACTTACATAAATGCTAACACTTTACACTCATTAATTTGCTAATTCACACAACATCCCCGGGAGGTAAGCCCATTTCATTCTATCCTATTATCTCTGCTTTAGTGATGAAGGTTACACAGCAAATCAATGGTATTATGGGGGATTATAATGCAAAGTTAATGCCTAAATATCAGGCCTGCTTTGTTCAGAGGTGAATATTGGGGCCTCTCAAGCTGCTACTCATTTCCTCCTTGAGATGATGACACCCAACTAACACATCCTGCCTGTTATATGGGGAGGAAAAAGTGAGAAGTGCTGAGGTTTTGCCATGGTGCCTTTCTTGTCTGTGCTAGCATCTCTTGACTGATTTCCCGGTAGTCTGTGGTCAGCAGACGGAGCAAAGCTAACGGGCCTCCATGACCCCAGCCTCATTAACACCACGGTATGAGTGTCCTGAGCCAACCAGCCATAAAGTTAAAGCCTGCCGAGTGCTTCATAATGCAATAATACCACTGAGAGGTGAGAAAGAAAGAGGCATTTTCTCTACTCAGAGATATATCTGAGTGATGGATTATTGGGTATCCTTTCGAAGATACCATTAAAAAATCCATTATTTAGTTTGAGATATGGATCACAATTCAGCTAAAAATGTGAAGTTAACATTCCTGAATAGAGAACTTACTACTTAGTTGTCACTGGTTTGCATAGATTGGTTTTGGACTTCTTAGAAAACATTTTAAAATGAGATTACAATATAATGGTTCCCATTGCATTGCTAGCACGATAATATTCAGCGTTAAAGCTACCAGACATGAGAATGACGCATTCCCAGAGGATTTTGCTGACTAGAAAAGTCTTGTGCCTTGGTGGTCGTACACACAAAGGTCAACAGGCAACCACACTTCACTTCAGGAATGCCACCCCATACCATCACTCACTACCCACTAGATCCAAGACAAGTACCACATCCAAAAACCCAGCTTTGCAGCATTAAATGATGGGATGTAAGGCTTCACATCAACCTGCAACTTATTGGTATCATCTGGTGTGAGAAAATAAAGTTTCAGGTCAAAACCAACTGACAAAAAAGACACGTAAGCTTTTGCAAGGCAGGATAAACACTGAGTTCAGGGTCTAAATGCAGCTTTTGACATGAAAAAAACAGAATTATTCTAGATTTTCTCCCTCCCTTTTTTCCTTCCTCCTTTCCTTCTTTGCCTCCACCCCTCACACCTTTCTAGATGGCTAATTCGTCCCAATGTTAATGAGATAATTATAAGAAGCAATTCTGTAAAAGTTGCCACTTAACATTTTCATAACGTCAACCTACAACCTTTACGAAAAAAATATCATTAGAAACAATAGCAGCAATGGCTGATCTGGACCTTTTATTTCCAACTCTCTGTATTTAGGTTAGAACTAATTTAGTTTAAAAACAAACATACACACACACACACACACACACACACACACACACTTATACTCTGCGTGCGTATGTGTGCATGTGCGTGCATGTATGTGTGTGCATAAATTTGGTTTCACTTATCTTCACATTCTAATGGCTAGCAATCTAATGATGATGACTTCCATATTTGGAGTCATGTCTTCTTTTAAGCAGAGACTGGAAATCACTCAATAGTTTAAAATACAACTTTGTATTTGTAGTATTAAAAACTAATGGGGAAAAACCAGTGACCTGGCCCTCATAAAGTCAGGACTCATAGGTGGCCATCACATTTATGAGAAAAGGACAAACGTTAGATATGATTGCTACTACAGGTGATAGATTAATTTGGGTGACAGTGGACAGGATTATATGTCCTGTTTGGAAACAGGTGGAGAAACCGGGGGCTCATGTGATATGACCTGACAGCTCCGTGAGACCCAGCCTGAATCAAATTCACTTTTCCATCTGGTCTCATTCTCCTAATACTCTTGTAGTTTAGACGGAAAAAAATAGAGGCTTCTCTTTCAAAAAGTCAATAGTTTACAACACATGTACTTACCTGAGATTATATGGAGGGCTTTGTTAACAAGTAGTGGTAGCCCTTCCAATCTGCCTGTTATCTTTTCGGAAACCAAAGAGAGAAAAATGGAAGATGAGGGTCTGTCTACGTATGTATACTTGTTGGGGATATTGTGTGATGAAATACAGAAAAACACACTTGATTGGAGGATGGGGTAACATAATTTGTCATATTCTTCATCTGCTTCATTTTTCTTAATTCATAACACATTATGGTCTAAGAATTCATTAAGGGATTCTAATGTTTGTCAACATGAGGATTAATGCAGCAATAAGCCTGAGAAATCAGTCCCCAAGTGGACCTCCCAAATCCACCAGTGTTGGCTATACAGACCCTAGCAGATTCTTTTTGTTCATTAAAGGCTTTCAAATGTGCCTCATGTGAACATGAACAGATTCTGATACCACGAAGAGTGACCTGGTTAAAGCATAAGGTTGAAGACAGGAACACAGTTCTATAAAAATGTGCATCCTATGGAGAAAGGGTGGCCAAAACACAAGTCATATGCAAATCTTTCACCAGAAAGCAATATAAATCCATGGGCCAGCTTAAACATGGTTCTGCTGCCTCTGAGTATCACGTTAACCAGCTCCAATAGATGTCAAGGCTTTCCCTGCTGTCATATGAGTAAGAAGCGCTATGCCTTTTCTAAGCATAAATCGATTTGGCATTCATCTCAAAACCTTCCTGAGTTCTGCAGCAAATGGACTAAACCCATTATTGTATTGCTTTACAATCCATTCATGCAATCATGTATTCAGCAACTATGTACAACGTACATCATCCACAAAATACCTGAACGTCACAAAGTTTCAGATCCACACCTAAATCTACATCATTCATTTCCTTCGTACTGAAAACTTTGTCAAGTGAAATAACTGGGGAGTAAGTACAGTACAGATAAAGCTTAAACACAATGTGACACGAGATAGACTGGAGGACTCAAGCCTGCGTTATATAACCTGAGAATGTGCAAATAATCCTCTAACCAAGTGAGCGAGTGCCAAAAGTGCAAGGCTATATCGTGACTATGGCATGAGGAGGTAAACTTGGGATTCAAAAAACTGTAATAAAAGGGCCACATCCATTATTCATTCCCCACAAGGTTGGGCGTCCATCTGTTGTTGCCTTTGGGAAGACTGCTTCTTTCCTGGTGCTTCAAAGGCGTGTAGAGATACTAACATAGACCTAACATTATATACTAGTCCCTCACAGCAGGATAACATAAACCAAGTCTATGACCCTTATATACATAGTGTTACAAAATATCCCATTTTAATGCCAATTAGTAGGCTAGAAAACAAAGTAAAAGAAACCCTCTGTAATTACAGTAAGCTTTGCTTTCTCCAAAGCTCTTTGAAAGTGACTATGTGGCAGATTTACCATCAGTGGTCAGGAATTGCTTCTAGCAATGAGAGCAAGTGGAGGTCTGGGTCTACGGCAGCTTAGGCTAAGGAAACCAAGAAAACTTTTTTATGTTGCTTCCAAAAATGTCCATGGGGTAGCTATTTGCATCCCAAGCACTGATGAGAGAAAGATGATTTATTTTGGACCGTTATACTGAAATCATCTCATATGGACTTACATTTTTTCCCCCTTGTGTCCAAAACGGTTTGATTTATGCTTTTCTCTGTGATTTTAGAAATCCTGACTTGGATATAGTTTCTCACTCACTAGAAATGACTGCAAGATGGCAGCCAAATCAGGCTTGAGCCTAATCTCTTTGTGGGGGACAGCCAATGGCTCTACTCGTTGACCAGATTCTTTCTCCTCACTGTTACGAGAATAGTGTCTTTTGTGTGTGTCTATGTATATATATATATATTGAGCTCAAATTACATATGCAGTTTGGTGTTCTACCTTTCCATTTCATATTGTATTGTAGAAATTTTCCATGTCATTAAACTGCTGGAACATGACAGTTACATATTTACATATGCCATGTGTAAAAGTGGCATTGTTAGGGTATGCGAAAGTCCAAATGTATTCCAGGATAGTTGTATTAATTGAAATACAATTGGCAGTACATGAATTTGTGTATCTTATCTCTTTGTTGGGTATTAATCTTTTTTAAATGTGCTAATATAAAAACTGAAAGGCCGGGAGTGGTGGCTCACACCTGTAATGCCAGCATTTTGGGAGGCGAGGTGGGTGGATCACCTGAGGATGGCAGTTTGAGACCAGCCTGACC